GTATGTTTCCGTGACCAGTTGGCGCGACCGCGTGTCCACCCGGGGTTACAAACGTCCCTGACTTTGCAAGACCACAGTCGGTCGACAGGGCCGTCAGGGTCAGGGACGTTTCCCACGTAGTCAGACACCACAAACTGCTCATTTGCTATTTTGATTTCTTAGTTTCCAAACATAGGCCCATATACGTGTTCGGAAGCTAAGACACTTACCGTAAATGCCAGAGAGAATAGTGAAGCATGCGAGGCTTGGCCAACAGGAATATCTTCCATCGACACTTATGTGGTCTTCCGCCTCAGTCATGTCGATTAGCAACAATTCTGCCATAATTAACCGGAACGCTAGTTTGTCCAGTCAGCCTACCATAACAAATCATCATCCCAGTAACAAAGGAGAGCTGCAGGGAGTCATTGTCGATTTCGATTAGCGACAACAACGAGTCTCCCAAACAACAAGTCTGGGAGGCCGCGTTCACAGGGCACCTTCTGGTATGGAAGGGGACGTACAGACACCTAAAAGGCAGGTGAAAATAGTTGTAAATAAAAACTCAGGGGACAAGCGAACTAATGATTGATGTCCGTTTGGAGTCAGTGAGCAAATAGTCAGCCCAGCCACTACAACAGCGATGAGGGAAACATGTCGGATATTTGATATGACATTGCGAAGGCCAAGCGAACTTGACCAGGAACGATTGGGGTCCAAGTTGCACTGTCGCGGTACCTCACGATAAGAACGGAAATGACATGAAATTACGAAAAGGGCCTGATTCATGCCGAAAAGCCAAAACGGTCAGGGCAGTTGACACACATGTTGTAAAATAGCCCTATCGTTACTAAAGCAGGAAGTGGCATATCAACAGTAGAAATTATGCGGACGTCTATAAATCGCCGAAATAAATGCTGAGGGTACATGGCAGAAATGTGAGCAGCTGATGCTTCCAAAAATAAACTGAATCTAGAGGAAAAACGAGAGATTGGATGGTAGGGTAACACCAGGGTGTCGGAAAGAAACGTCCACTGTGGAAGGAAGGCGTGATGTCACTTGTGTTTTTCTCACGAACCAACGGCTTATGTCTTGCGAGCTCTAGATAAGAACGACGCTAAGAAAGACCAGTAGATGAATTAAGTTAATATTGACTATGTTCAACATACTGATCATAGGGCACGCGAGCAGTGAGGGAGTTGACCCGCAGGGTAGTCTGTCACGATAAAACAAAAAGAACTGTGAAAAAAGAGGAGTGACAGCGTTAAAGGTCAGTTAGTCTAGCGCCTCGGCGCAAGCTAAATGATTCAGGAGTGGAACGTAGTCGCAACCGACGGATCCACGAGACTACTTTCCGATCAGTAAATGGAAAAGTCGTTTTTCGGCGAACATCCAGAGGCATAACCCAAAGTTTACTTATGAACTTACAGGCCGGACTCGTCCTTGGTTTGGTGTTCTATAATCTAATCACCGGCATGCTTCACACATAGATAGTCGTTTCGCGACCTCAGGTAAGGGTACAAAATATTATTTTACCGTACTCCATAGTTATCGGGAGGAAGAAAAGATTCCATGTAGCCAGGCAAGACGAACTCGTTACGGAAAGAAAAAAATAAGCCGGAATGTAAGAAACACACATGCTGAGCGAGCTCCATTCTGTTGTTTTCTTACACTGAGAGCAGCGTGGAATAGTAGTGAAAGCATAAATGTAACCAAAAATGCATGTTCACACTTTTCTAGGCCCCTTAAAGTAGAGCTATCGTCTAGAACTACGACGTTTAACGAAATGTGCCTGCATTTTTATATAAATTATAAGAAGGTTTCTAAAAAAGTGGAAGAGCGTGACATTATAGAATCAGCTGCGACTCGTTCAGTGACTATGTTTTCTAGCAATCGCCTTTCCTTGCGGTAGCTATTCATATGTCCAGTAAGAGGGTTAATGAGTAAAAAGCAATTGTTACAAACTAAATGTATTTTAAATTCACTGAAATACCATTTGTATTCATGGGAGGCTCTCATATCCTGAATAATGATATCCGGCAGGGTATTAGCAGCATCACCTGCGGCAGGAAATTTTCAATGGTCATTCGCCAAGAGTCTCCTATCCCAACTGTCTCATTACGTTTTAAGCCTGTGGGATGTTTAAGTAAGGCGGAGTAAATAGCAGCTGCAGGAGATTGGGAGGCGTACTCTGGGTGAACTACAGTTTCCTTGCCGGCCTGGGCAACTCTTCGCAATCGCGTAAGACCGCCTACAACTGTCGTAGACGTGCGGATCCAAGGCTTAAGGGGTCGTTCCCTACTCTCCCCATCAATTCAAATAGATCGGTGTATGCGATTCTTACATACCAATTGACCATCTGGTACTTAAAGTGGAAGGCAGTTTAGAATATATAAAATAAGGCGGGAGGGCGATCGCTTGGACTGGTTGTTTGTTTATCCAACGTTTCGGACTCTCGTGCGAGTCCACCGTTCAGGAATGAAGTCTTGCACAACTCATCCCTGAGAAAAATGACCTTCAGCCGCGCTACTGATCTGTTCACGAAGTGCTTGATAAGTGACTGGGCGATCGAGGTGCCGATTAATCGAGTCCTCAGTTGAGCGCCCCACTTCCTGTAGTAGGCCCAATATTCTCACGCGCTCAATGACAAAGCCCTCCCCTAACGAGGAGGCGTGCGCGCTTACTAAGAAGGATTTATCCTTCCGTCCGACAGCCAACTCGTGCTCGTGCAATCTCGTGCGTACCTGTTTGCCACTTTCACCGACATAGTTGTCTTGACTACAATTGCAGTCTATCCGCTAAATGACCCCCAATTGTCATTGATGATAATCAGGTCCACAAGGTGCATGAGTTGCAGGTCGATTCTTGCTTCCGGTCTGTGAACGACGTCAATTCCGTATTCGCTCCTCAGTTTCACGAATTCTTCTGAAACACCGGCTATGTGCGGTACTGTGCCCCAGTATTTCGCTTTCGGCTACACTTTTGGTTTTATTCCCCGGACTTCTCGCCTGGGCACCCGTTGACTGTGAAGAGTTTCCGCAGGAAGCAGACATTATTATCGTCAGGCTCGTGGAGCTGCGTTTTTGCCAAAGAGGGCTGTTTCCATGAAAACCTATAATACTAGAGCTTCGTCATTTTCAGTTACCCATGGCCTTTTCTGTGAACCAGCATGTCGAAAAACGGCAAGTGGCAGTTTTTCCCTCCTGCATCGTAAACTGGATGTCTGGAAAAAATGAGTTCGGATGTTGCGGGAATGTCCCATTCTTGTCCCGACTGGTGGTGACAAATACATTATCAGCATACCTTATCCACAACCGTGGTCGATAGTGGTCGAAAGACAGTGCCTCCAGTCGCTGTAACACTGCCTCAATAACCAAGCTGGATAACAGCGACCCCATCGGTGTACATTCGACTTATTCTCACACAACTCCGCTAAAGGCAAAAAAGGCCTTCAAGCCTTGTATTAGGAGATCAATAGGTACCTTATCTTAGGTCTTTTGTCAGTCTCGTTATAATGCATTCCTAGCAAGGTCTACATTATTCCCTCCACGATATGTTGTTGGATAGCAGGTGGAAGTGATAACACGTCAAAAGATACAATCATTTTATCATCTTTACGTCGAATTTCTTGTGGTTTTTCAATTAATTACTGAGCTGAGTTGATTATCGTTTCCGAACCCTGAGTCAGAAACTTCAGACGATGGACCGTTCACTTGGCCCGGCCAAACATCTAGGTGCCTCTTAGAGGAACGATCGGCCGTAGATAATTTCCTACTTTGTGGAGCTTGAGTGGATTAGACTATGCATGGAGCCTCCAACAAGCGTCCTGAAAATTTGGACGCCCTTGTATCCAAAAGGTCTTATAGATTTATCAGGACATGTGATATTCTAGTTGTGAAATTTTATTTAACAGTATGCCCCAATATTTCTCTAAAGTTATTTCAGTTGTGTTCATCAGACTGGATCCTACAGTTCTTCCTAGCCATAAGTTTCAGTTAGTTTAATTTTTAATTATTTGGTTATTAATTTGTTGCTGCTAAGTGCACCAGTTGTTTGCATCTATACTTGTCTTGCTGCTAGTCTCACATATATACACACATACATGAAAGAGGAAGCTGAGGCGATCTCTGGGGAAGACAGTTTATTCATCTGACGTTTCGTGTTCATGCTCGAGCACATCATCGGAGATAGACTAAGTGAGAAATATGGGGTTTAAATAGGCCTGTATTTCCCACTTAGTCTATCTCCGATGATGTGCTTGAGCATGAACACGAAACGTCAGATGAATAAACTGTCTTCCCCAGAGATCGCCTCAGCTTCCTCTTACATATTAACTCCTAAGGCCAACATTTTTGCCTATATCCACCTACACATATATATATATACAAAATGCTCTGAAAGAAGCTGGACAGAAGCTCGATATAGTTTTAACTGAACTCGTCTGTGTTAACTTTCTCAAATGTTCATGTCAATTTAACAAATTTCTCCTAAACCTGTGCAATTACGTAAGGTTCGAGTGACCGTGTGGAAGGGAAGAAGGCTTTTCAAGTCGCCTGAAAACTGCCGAGAAAATACCTGGCAGAGCCTACAATTCCTATCGACGACTACGCAGTCCGGGCCTATCAATGCGAAGGAAAACCGTGCCAAAAGTATAGCTGGTTTTGCCGAAGGGCGCGTGGTCGAAGGCAGGCTGGTAATTGCTGCTGTTACCTCTTCGCGTTGACGCATTGCTCTCCGTTTTATCCCGCACCCCACTTTCCTAGCTGTCTATAGCCAACGAACGTGTCGGGGGATTTTCGTTGTCTATACGTACAGAGAAGTCTGTTCACGCTGGACAAATACTGCATTTTACCGCTAGGCCTATGTTGAATCTTTAGCCAATGAATAACCGGAGTTGCGAAGCCGATTCATTATTGGTTGGTCTCGCGCCAATTGCAATATGCCAAGGCGGCATCCCAAACACGTCCTGTAGATGATTCTACTGTGGCTGTAGGCAACATTCATTTTACGCGGGAGACGAAATGACTTCGCTTTGGTGGACAATTTCACTTTTGCCCAAGTTGGGATTCCTCTATCTCCTCTATGCCCTCTTTTACTCCATCCTGAAGTATACCCTTGGCAGGGCTCTCTTTTCAAAGCGTAAACAGCTGAAAGCTGCCGGCGATTGGGCAGTAGTCACAGGGGCAGCCTCTGGAATTGGCCGCGGTTTCAGTCGCGAACTAGCAAAGGACGGACTGAATGTCCTGCTGGTGGATGTGAACGCAGAAGGGGTTGCGAAAGTAGCCAAGGAAATCCAAGAGGAATTTAAAGTTCAAGCAAACACTTTTGTTGCTGACCTATCAGATGTAAGATTTTCCGTTTATGGACGTTTTCAATAGGCACCGTTAGAATTGTTCGCTATACAGTGCCCATAAGTCGTAGTACACGGTCCCCCAAGGTTTAATGGCGCGAGGTTTAAAAATTCACCTAATAAGAAAAGATTACTAGCTACGCATCTGCACAGGCAAAGAAATTTTGATTTTTTCCTTATGCAGGTGCTACCCTGATAAAAGCAAGATTTTTCACAATGAAGGATTTTAGCGAAACGAGTATTATCCTCCTCGCTAAACCATGATGAATCTGTCCGCGCCCACAGACGTACCGGAAAGGCTTTTCAGTTACATTTCATAGATGAAGTAATGAAAATGTTCTGTACACGTTACGAAGGTAGGACACAAAAGTTGTAATTTTTCGAGGCGCTGAAAAAGGGAAAAACGTGTTTGCATGGGGCTACAGAACTGAAAAACGCAAAATATAAATTAGAACCTGTGCATATCTTGGAACGTGTTGGTTTGCACACGATGACTTCTTAAAAGTATCTCTGACCATGCTACCGAGACAGACAACCATTGAGAAGTGAGAGTCTTTCCTCTGTTTTTGATGGTTAACAGTAGCAACTGTCCTGACAAGAAATTCATGACGAAACTCTTTTCAAAACCGCTCTCTGAAAATAAATTCTTTAGCTCCAAGTAGTTTATTACCTCAAATTATTTTTTGACAATTCCCAGTTCGTTTAATTTTGATTTTTCCGAATCCGTCCCCTTAAGACGTTATAATTTTTTATGTTGGTATTAAGGGACGTCAGAAGCTTCGTGATATTGTTGTATATTCATGGTAGATAAATACGATTCTCACGTGACGTGTCGGAGAGGGGAGAAGTGCTCAGGGGGGAGGTTCATTAAGGGTGTGACAATTAGAGTAATGACTTCGATCATCCCACCTCAGAGACTCGCGAGTCCTGTTAACAGCTCTCGTTATGTGGCGCGTTTTTCCCGATGCACAAGTCATCAGTGCGACTGCTGGGCTCAGTCGGATTCCCGTTTTTGAAGATGGGTGGTCGAAGTTATTACTTGAAGCGTCAGACCCAAAATAAACCTTGCCTCCTGAGTACTCCTTCTTTTGCCGTGTCTTAGCATACTTGGTGAGCATATTAGTCTTCTTAACAATGCCGATACGAGCGCGGATACCGGAATATATGCCTTCTAATACACCCCTGAAAGGTGACTAAGTGAGGATGCCACTCTAGCTGAGCTGGTTTGTTTTTGGTACCAGACTTAGAGAAGTGAACGTTAGAAATGAGTTTTCGTGGAAGCGGAAGCGACAGCGACGAGTAGCACACTATGAATGTCTTTGACTTACCCGCTTCCCTCGGCCAGCTCCTTCGATATCAGGGAAATTTAAATTCTAGACCAATGCAAACGGAGAGTAACGGCATAATCGAAAAACCGTCAGTCTTTACATAATCTTGTAGTAATACGACCAAAAATCAATGAAATTACCTAACAAACGATTCTTTAAAAGAAAAAAACTGAGAAATTCGTTGGACTCACCGAATCAGAAGAATTGCATGTATGACGTTTTGGAGGGCTTGGCCAGCTATCTATTATCAAAGCGTTTTGCGCAAAACAAATTATACTTCACGGAAAACATGCATAAAAATATTCATTCTTTTACTTATTTGGAAGATAATTACGTCTTCTTCAGCTTTTTTACTTGAAGGAAGGTAATAATTCGGTTTTAAAAACTTTTCAAATTCCTGAATTATTTTAATCCGTGAAATGTCCGTTCATAAGACATTTTGCCTCTGCATTTGCTAATATGGCTTGTAAAGTTTATAATACGGCTCAAGTCCACTGCCAAATTTTATGAACCCCTAATGGTCACCTTCTAATACCGTAGAGATATATACGGTTTTTAGAAGAAGAAAATTGGCTCTCCGGAACAGGGTTATTTAACTGCTGACGTTTCAAAGAGCTGGGTCGGCTCTTCATTGTCAAAGCGTAAACTGCACTTAATCGATCAGAAATTTAATTTAAAATGGCAAGTTGTGTTGGCCGGCCTCATGCTGATCGATTTTTTCCTCTCCTCCCGCTGCGTCGGCCTCTCGGGAAATTGTTGACGGGCGTTTTGCCTGTGTGCTTTATGAATCACCACTCCGTCGAGGGCAGCTGATTGGACTTTAGTCGGGCGGGCGGTCGGTCTGCCGGTTCTTGTTCTTCCTCACCGAGTAAGCTCAGCGTCGGGCTATCACCGTGCGGCCTTCTTAAGTCCGGTGGGGTTGTTTGGTCCTGAGTTCTACGATTGTAATGACGTAGGACTTTGTAAGCTGCAGGAAGGTCCAGATGCCTGTTGAGAGAGTGGGCATCGGAGAACCACGCCTCGAAAGTTAGCCGTTCTGTTTTTGTGTTGCCTCGGCTTAAGATGGTAGTCCTCTGGAGTTCAAAAGTATGCCCCTTTTCTCCAACGTGTGTTGCAAGTTGAGAGTTAGGGTCTAACTTCCGAGTGGCCGATCTATGTTTCTGTAGGCGAGTTTGCAATTTCCACCCGGTTTCGCCCACATAGTTGCAGTCGCCCTCATTGTAATTTATTTTGTAGATAACTGCTGAGGTTTCAGCGGGTGGCAATGGGTCTTTAGGTTGCATCAGGCGACGTCGATTTGTTGCTTGTGGTCGATGGGCTATGCCTGCTGTGGTGGGTTGTAACAGTCGCGAGACCGCTTCAGAAACCCCTTTAACATAAGGAATGGCCCTCCAGACTTCGGGTTGCTGCTCATTTGGCCGTTGTCTGGGCGCCTAACGTCTGCTTCTCTCGATGAAATGCCTGGGATAACCATTGGCTTGTGGTTTTGAAACCCGGAATGCAATTTTAACGTCAAGTAAAATTCAAAATAATTTGGAATAAGAAAAGTTTTTAGAACCATTTTATACACTTCCCTCAAGCATAAAATCTGAAGAAGACCTAATTTTCTTCAAAATAAGTAAAAGGATGTATATTTTTATGCATATTTTCCATAAGTATAATTGAATTTCTAAGGAAATTGAAAATCAATGAGAAAAATTCAGGCTATTTGAGTACTTACTCTTTACAGGGTGTGGTTTTTTCAGGCGACCAAAAAGAAGTTCATTCAAAAGTCGGCATCCAGACGTAACTGAATTACTACAGAATTTCGCAGCACAATGATTGATTTTGCAATCCTACTTAAGTAATCTTTTCAAAACGAAAACGCATTTAAGAATTTCGGTTAACATTTCATGAGTTGGCGCATCTACTGTAGATCTTTCTGCGGCTATATAGTCCTACGTCATTACATACGCCATGACCAAAAAAAGACGGTCAAATTGATTTCAAAATACCAAGCAAATACGGCCAGTTGGCTAATTCACCCGAAAGGGGAGCACAGGTGCGACCAATCCCATGTAGGTAAGAAACACACAACGCAGGATGCCTCCAAGATTCACAAACAACGACCGGAAGGCCAGGGCAACAAAAGAAGAAAAAGTCCACCAGCTAAGACCACAAATAATTCGGCCGTCTGTTTAAAATTCTGGCTAATTTTTTTGCGCTAAACCCTCTCATAGTGGATAGTCGGCCAAGCCCTCCAAAATTTCATCCATGCAATTCCTCTGATCCAGTGAGTCCTACACATTTATCGGATTGTCGACTCGGATACTTTACGTTTGCTTACCTTAACTGCATTAAACTGTCCCGGAAAAAATATTAAACATTTAAACAGCCGCACATAAATAATTGGTCAGCTTTGCGGATGCAGTGCGATATCCTTAAATCTTTAAAAAAAACATCCTTTCCTGACTGATTTACAATAAAACATTGTAAATTGACCTTCTTTAATTTTTACTTTCATCTGCTTTCATTTTTCTTGCCGATTCCGCTTTTTTCTAGATTCGATGTTTTAAGGGATTAAAGGAAGTCATCGATGGCCTGTCATCAGTGGCCTGTCTTATTAATAACGCCGGTACAGCATCAGGCATGAACGAGCACTTTCTTGACACTGAGAAGTGTACTTTTGATTCCATCTCGTTCGTTATCAACTTGAATGTTCTGGGCTTCACCTGCGCCACAAAGGCAGTCATGGAAAAGCTCTGTGAGGATGCCGCCTCGAGAAGACCTTTCCTCATCAACATCAGTTCCATAAACGCTTTAATTAAACCACGCGGGTTACCAGTCTACTCCGCCAGCAAGTCCTACGTTAAAACGATGAGCGAGTGCCTAGCGACGGATCTAGCAACGCGTGGCGTCCGAGTGCAGACCTACATGCCCTGTGCTGTGGCAACGAATCTTGCGAAGGTGTCCCCTATGTGGCCAATCATCCCCTCACCGGAGGAGTATGCAGCATCTGCCTTAGACATGCTTGGAGTTGAAAAAAATGGCTGCGGCTACTTCTTCCACGACCTTCATTACTTTGCGTTTAAAGTCTTGCTAACCGCCCGCAGACTGTATGATATCTGGTGCATGTCATTTAAAACGCCTAAAGAATCTGCCAAGAGGGAATAGGTGGCATGACAGTCAGTACAAAGACTAACAAATCGCAACCGCAAGAGCTGAAATTTTGATCTATGCTGTCGATGGATGGAATTTTATTCTCCTCCTCTTCACTCAATACAAGAAAATACTGAGGATTAAAATAAATAACTAATACTTTGTCTTCTGCTCATTGATGTGACAAGTAGACGCGACTGTGGTCTGCACACCAGGGTTGAGCTGACGAGACAGGAGGTGTTCAGTTTGCCAAAAAGCGAGCACTTGTACTAATAGCCATGTCTCCATTTACCTCAGGCCTCTACAAAGCAGAGTGTTTATTTGCCTCAACAGCATAGGATAGGTCATTCAGAAAACCATGGTGTTATCGATCGCGATGAGGGACTAGAAAGCCTTAGCATCCGAACGAGCATGCAAAAGTTCTCCGATCCTTTCGCACGTACGTGGAACTGCTCTGGTTAGCTGACAAATTTGGCAAAAGTATGGCAAATGCATATTCGCGTGCCCTGTTATGACATCTCGGGTTCTCTCGCAATGAGAGTTGGACGGATTATACGTTAAACCAACTACACTATTAGAGTACCTAAAAGGCTCAGGTGCTAACACATATAGTTAAACAAGTCTAACGCTAATGGCAAAGGGGATTGGGCAGGTGATTCGTTCATCCCGTATTTCAGTGACATGCTGTAGTACAGGCTGAAATGCTTCGCAATCTGTATTAAGAAAGTCGTGATCTGTCGAAATATGCGAACAAGAGAAAAATGTACTCGACAGTTCCAACAAAGCCTTACTCGTTTCACCTTTCTTATTTAAATTCAAACTACTATTAAGGGAAAAACCAAGAATTTCAAAAACATACACATCGGTGCGGCACTGGGAAATTAGGGTTGTTAAGTTTCCAGGCCACGATCGACAGGCCGATGTCCAAATGCCCAATCTAAATGTCTGTAATAGGCAAAATGCTTATTATCCACGCTCGAGGTGTTAAGGGCTGCGTCATCTTTGCCTGTGTTTATGGTGGGAATGATATGTAGCAAAATAACTCCTAAGTACCGCCATGCGATTTATAACCTTGTAAGGTTGAAGAAAAAGGCCGCCAGGAGCTGGTGTATGTCGTCAGCTTTATTACTCGACCGTGGGTTCGAGAGCCAGGAATCAAGCGGTTATTTTCTCCTTTACTTTGGCGCAACTGTCCACAATTGCACCATACTATGTAAATGAGCCCTCGTGTTTCTCGCAGTGACAGGAAGCCTTTCCGACTCGGTCGTTGCGTCAGATGGCTGCCACCCGCCTGGCTGCAATGTAGACTTCAAGTGCATGAGAGAGCAGTTGACCGCGGTCCAAAACGTCGTGAGGTATGGCAACGCTTGCAGAAATCCTGGTCCCGGTCGGTTTGGGATTTTCGACGATGGTGGGCTCCGAACATTGTCAGAACCATTGCGATCCATGACCAGTTCCGATATTCCGCATTTCCGTTGTGCTAGTAGCGACTGATAGTTTACTCACCGGATCGACAAGTGCCGTCACTGCCTCGGGGAAAGTGGAATGTTGTCACCGATGGCGAGAGCGGGAGACGTGGTAGTCGCCATCGTCGTTGCGGGTGTTGTGGCATGGGTAATGATGGGGGAGTAAGTGGAGGCAGCATGTGGACAGCCCGGCAGTTCGACCGTTGTTGCCGACGAGGTCCACCGATTGTTTCACGACAGGGCAATAGCAGAGACGGTGACTTGCGCGTGGTAGCAGACTTACACTGCGTCTACAGCACTGTCGCCCCCTTCTTCATCTGGGCCCGATGTCAAGACAGGGTCAAGAAGACCAGAGGTGGGGGAGGACGCAGGTGGATGGCACGCGCGAACCGGCACCTAGGCGTAGCACAGCACCATCTCGTCCACAAGGTACAGTGGCCAGGATTTCGCACAACAAAAGCAGAGAGGTGCCACTAGGTGGGAATATTATAAGGACCACATTAGGAAGGGACCATTACAGCCTCAGTCTCTGTCCGCCAGTCCTTCAATCCACAAAAACACCCACTGGGCCGACTGTGAGTTCCGAATTATCCTGTCAGTTCGTAACATTCCAAACCACGGCCTTTAGCCCACCGTGATAGCTTTAAGCGCGTCAGATTATGTATAGTGAGGAATTATTTGCTGAGAGTTGACCACACTTATTCAGCCCTGTCCTGGGCACCAATCAGCTGTCCGAGCCGGTCAACCAGCTTATGCTAAGATTATGAGAGGTGGCTGATAGAGTTGAGAGCAGCTCTTCTGCGCGTGCCACACACGACGTGGTCCCCCACAAGCTCACGTCGCGTTTCGCATAAAAGGGGACTGAATGCTCCGATCCTACATGCAGCAGAGTAGGCACACGATTAGGGATCCAAAAGCACACTTTCCATTTCCGTAATAGGCAAAGGTGAGAGGTGAGTTGGCACCCCACCCACCCACCCACAAAAACACACGCAAACACAATACCATACGATAGTTCGACAATCGATTTCGATGATGTCCACCGTGTGCCCCACAGCAGCAGCGGTGGAAGCAGGGACGGTGACTTGCGCAGGGATTTATAGTGCCAGTAGTCTTGCGCTGCATCTACCTACACTCTCTCCTCCTTCCCCGCCTGAGTCCGGTGTCAAGACAGAGTCACGAAGACCGGAGACGAGAGAGGCCGCAGGTGGATGGCTCGGACGGATCCTCACCTTGGCGTTCCACCACACTCCCTGGTCCACACAACAATGACCAGGATTTTGACCAACAAAACAGGAATTTGGAGGCGGGTACGGCCGATGCCGCACCTAGGTGTGCCGCCAACGACACACGCACACACACACCAGGATTTCACTCAACAGGGTTGAACGGCTTGTCCCTCACTTGCGTGAGAGGGCCGTGGAAGGTGCTGTTTCAGCCCGTCCCCAGCCCACCAGTCCGCCACTCCACAGAACACGACAGTTCGTCCGTCGATTTCGACGATGACCACCGTGTGCCCCACAGACTGCATTGTGGGAGCAGGGACGGTGACTTACGCAGGGGTTTATAGTGCCAGTAGACTTGCGTAGCATCTACCTACACTCTCTCCTCCTCCCCCGCCGGGGCCCGGTGCCAAGACAGAGTCAAGAAGACCGGAGACGGGGGAGGCCGCAGGTGGATGGCTCGGACGGATCTTCGCCTTGGCGCTCCACTCCGCACCCCTGGTCCACACACCAAGACCAGGATTTTGACCACAAAACAATGGGGTGGAGGCAGTGGTCCAGCTGTGCGACGAATGCCGACAACAGGGTCCGCCAGCGCACCCCGCAAATGTTGGCATTTGTTATTGCGCACAGATAACGCCTGCCAAAGTCCGATGTGGCCCCCGTGTTGGTCCAGCGCATCAAACACGTGGCCCGTTTTGAGGGCACACACACAACACACACACACACACACAACGCGACGAATTGCGTGGACCGAGTGGGGCCTCAATCAGCAACCTTCCTATCCACGACGCTTGACGTGTCGGGATAGTCTGAGACTCAAGTCACCCGTGCAGCCGAAGCCGCATGGGGACCGGGTCGAGATGTACACTTCTCACATGCGTGGGGGGCGGCAGTTAAGTACTTGCGGTGGGTGAGTGTTGATATATTGTTGGGTGGTAGTGGTGATAGCGGCAGGGAGGGAGGGTGTGATGGTGTGGTGTAGCCGGCAGTTGTCTGCCGCAGGTCGTCGTGGATGCGCATGTGACCGAATAGGCCCATGCGATGCGTGAAGGTGCGAGGGCAGTGTGGACAGTGGAGGTTTGCTTGGTGGATATAGGTTGGTGCTCCAGGCACTGGTTCGCCAGTCTCCGTGCGATGAATTCGCAAGTGACCGACCAGACCGACGCGAGAGGTGAACGTGCGTGGACAGTGTGGTCATGTGAAGTCGGCTGTGTCGGTGTCAGCTGCAGAGGAGGTGGTGGTAATGGTGTTGGTGGTGTTGGCGGCGGCGGCGGCGGTGGTGGTGGTGACGCCAACACACACATACTGCCATCTCCAGGTTGACTGTATGCGCGAAGTAATCACTCTGACACTTTTCTGTGGTCGTGATGGCGGACGTGTGGTGGTGACCTATGGCTCACTCGTCGGACCGACGAGTACTGTAACTGCCTCAGGGAGAATGAATTGGTGATTTTCAATTGATTTCGCGTCCATTAAGACAGAAGTGCGCAGCATCTGCCTTACCCATTCTCTTACATCCGCCGTGTTTCAAAGTCAAGACAATGGCTAGACTACTGGAGGTTGCCGTGATGCTTTGATTGACAAACTCAGGACCTCCATCTGCCCTAACCGAAACCTTAATCTTAACCCTAACCGAAACATTAACCCTAGCCTTAATCCTAAAACTTAGCCCTAACCCTAAAACCTAACCGCAACCGTAATACTGAAACCTAATCTTCAACCCTTCCCCTAACCCGGAGACCTAACTCTGAATTCATAACCCTAACCCGCTAACCGTAATCCTAAACTGAAACCCTAATCCTTTTCTTAACCCTAAAATCTAAGCCCAACGGTCTAATCCTTACCCAAAAAACCCTAACTCTAAAGTCAAACCCTAATCATAAACCTAAACCGCAACCTTAACCCTAACACTAAAACTTAAACCTAAAACGCAAACCGTGATCCTAAAACTTAACCCACGCCTAACCCTAGCTCTCACTAAACCCAACAGGGCGACCTGCCTACCTCAGTAGAAGCCCACCTACTGATAACAAGTTCCTAGACAAGATTAACACACCTACTGATAACAAGTAAGTACGTCGACATTGTTAACGTATAATGTCTGGCTACAAACTGCGATCTTACGTCTCCTCATTCTTCAAGTCTCCGTGGCCTCTTCATATCAAGTCGAGGGGGAATCAGATTGGACGAAGTGTCCAACATGACATTAACTTCAACGCAGTAGAGCAATAATTAAGTACTCACACAGAACTCAGTGCATCCCAACTACTGCACAACATGAGCCATCCTGGCACTTTATTTTGTCTAACGTAAAATCGGCGCA